GATTCAAAAGTCCCTGTGGACCTTGAATTACATCACTGACGGTGGTGAGTCAACACATAAGACCTGACTATGCCATCTCTTCTCTTGGCGATTAGATTCATTTCCTTATTGTCCATGTAAGATAGATTTTTATCATACATGCCTGTTTTATGGGAAGCTCTGTATAAAATTTGACTCCTCATTTTTATTTTTTTCTCTTTCTCCCCATGCTGTTTTGTTTGTTTGTTTGGTTGGTTGTTTTTTTGCTCACAAATACAAATGCTCTCCTCTATTCATCTCTGTTCAGCACATCAGTTTCCTAACTTGGCAGCACATAGAATTCCATAGAAAGCACATCCCTCTGTGCATATCCCTCACATGTGCACCTAGAATTGCAGAATCATCATAGGATCACATAATACTTTGAGTTGGAAGGGACACCTTCCACCAGAGCAGCTTGCCCAATCCCCATCCAACTTGGCCTTGAGCACTACCAGCACTTCCAGCTTCCCTGGGCAGCCTGCACCCTTGCCTCACCACCCTCATTGTGAGGAATTTCAGTCTAAGCTGAAGACATTTTTGATCTATGCTGGATTTTCCTTAGTTCTCCTGCTTCCCTGCTTCTCAGTGCATCCACAAATGCTAAAACCACCTTCTTGTGAAGACCTAGCAATGGCCTTAAGGAAAGTAATGGGAGAGAAGAGGAAAGGAAACCCATTTTATTTTTCTGGAGGTGTAGTTTCTCATTTGATACTTCTTTTTTTATTATTATTTTTAATCCCATATTCTTACAATATGCATTCTAGCTTCACCCACTTCCTCTGTGGGAACAGCTGTCAAAACGCTGCTACATCCTAGGCTACTGCGGCTTTACGACTCACATTAGCAGCTCTTTAAGGGTCTGGCGGAGGCTGGCTGTGAGGTTTCAAGCCTGAGATTTCTCACTACCCAACTGGCAGGAAGTGTAATGCAAGATAAAACAGGAAGACCAAGGAGCCAGGGAGGTCTACTGCAGGGTTTGATGGGCAGTAGACCGAAGGTAGTTTCATGGATCTCCCATCTCCAGTCCTATTACTTCCAATCACCCACTCTTCTTGCTTACAATGGCCAAACATCAGGCCAAATATCTGCCAGGTTGCTCAGGCCTTGGTGGTGGTCATTCTCATCCTGATTTGGTCTGGGGCCAGCACCCACAATGCCACATTTTGTAACATCAGCAAAAAGCGATCCCTAGCACCTACTCTTCCTTTTGTTTCTGTCTGTGACCAAATGATTTCATTCATGCAAGCATACCCAGAGTAAATTCACCCCTCCTTCCCTTATGTCACATAGCCTATCCTTTGCCTACATCAGCTGATTCTTCGTGGATATCGTCCCGTTCAGTTCTGCCACCATACAATAGAACTCATCTGTACCAGATTAGCTCAGATGACCTCAGGTATCTGTGAGCTCCTGAGAATGGAATTCCTTGTGATGGATGGAAGTGCTGTAGAGGCATTCCTCCTGAGAGTGTGTGAGAGTTGATGTTTGAGCTCTCTATTGATGAGACAGTTGGATCAATGTAAGGTGGCCAGTAGTGTCTGAGAAAAGAGGAATTGTGCTCCCAGCTCCACTGGCTGCAAAAGTACACTGTTCACTGAGTAAAAGAGGCACAAAGGTGACCAGCCCATATTCCTCCAGATATACTGTAAATATCTGCATTTAGGCAGATCAAGCTTCTTATTAGGCGTCAAGTTTAAAGCAGAAAGCATTGTTCAGGTCTCTGCAGTCCATCCTATGGGATGTCAGCTGCTCTAGGATGGTGGTGCATGCAAAAACACTCAGATTTCACAGTGCCTTTTTCAACAAGGGGAACATCACATTTCATAGAATCATAGAATGATTGGCTTAGAAGCAACCTAAAAGCCCACCCAGTTCCAACACCCTGCCATGGGCTGGTTACCTCCACCAAATCAGGATGCCCAAGGCCTCATCCAACCTGTCCTTGAGCACCTCCAGGGATGGGACATCTACAGCTCTCTGGGCAACCTGCAGGATTTGGTTATTACAAATGCTGCTGCATTGAAAGCTTTCAGCTGAAGCTTTAAACAGGCAAAGCAATGCAGAACAAAAAAATGGAAGGCCCATTGGTTACAGAGGGTTATCTCACTGATTTAATTAACCTCTCCTTCAGTGGATGCTGTAGCTACTAAGCTGTGAGAAAGAGCGCAATAAAGTGCATTGTATGCCAACACAAGTGAAGTACTAGATTGAAGAAATCATCATCTCTGAGGTCAGACAACACTGAGTGTAAAAGTATTGAGGAGCCATTTTGTAGGGTTAAAGGCCTGTATGTGAGTGCTGCACCACCGTGGAAAATGAGATTGGTATAAGGTAGGTAAAATAAATGCAAGAATTTGTGTGCACACAGGACGAACAACAGAACCGGGTAACTCAGATTTTGTCAAGCACTTTGGAGACACAATCTAGAGTTTTCAAGGTCTTCCAGTGCACCTTCAGTAGCACCATAGCCCTTTTATAGGCCATTTTAACACATGAGTTTGATTGGAGGCTTTGATTGGAGGTCAAGATCAAAGACCCAAGATGGACAGACCTCACAGCTTGCTTGACAAGGTTGATCGTCCCCAAGGCTGGGCTTGGAAATGACCTGTTTTCCTTACAGAAAAGGAGAACACTTCCTCCTATAAAGACTATCAGCACTCCTTCCCCTGAAAGCCCTAAGGCTTTTGATGAGGGGCAGACCACAATGAGCTCACATCAATGAGGATGTTCACTATTCAACCAATTAACAGTGACCATTTAATTTTTTTCCAGAGCATACTTGGACCTCACGCTGGAAGTACACCATCCTGCTCTCTAGGGCATCACTCTTGACTCTCTGCTGGGCTTTCCAGAATTTCAGGACTTGCATTAGCCACATATATGGGTTGGTTCCAAGACAAGAGGTTAGGTATAATGCTGAAAGAGGCACAAGTGCTCTAACAACCACAGAAATTAGACTGTTTTCAACAAGTGTGAAGAAAGAGGAGCACGCTTCAAGTATAATTTAAAATACATTTATTGTTTCATTTGTTCTGGCTTTTTTGTTATACAAAGATGTTAAATAACTTAAATACATTCTTAACAGTCACTCAGAATCAGATTTATACCTACAAGCTGTACATATGAGGTAGAGAAAAATAACTTAGGCTCCCATAAGACAATGGAAAAAAAAAAAATAAAAAAAAGAAAATAAAAAAAAGAAAAATACTAATCCTTCATGTTAGTATTCCCACCTCCCTTTAAAAGGAAATTCCATCCCAAGTGTGCAAAACAAATCCTAGACTTTACATTCAAGTCTCAATGGCCTGGAGACTGGGGAAGGGTGGAACAAGGCAAAATTCCCATCTGATTTGGCAACTGCTCCTTCAATGGGTTCATGCCTAAGGGGAGCTTAACAGGGTTTTCCAAGCATGACCTTGCTTAGTCCTGAGTTCACCTCCACATCTCTACATTTTATCCCTGTTTATCCTGTTGTCAACTGGGAGAAACTGGCACCTTCACATTGGCCAAAACACCTTCTTGAGTTGCCTACACTGACTGCAGACAGAGCCAGGGCAAGATTTCAACAACTTCCTTCAGTAAAGGGGGATGATTTCAGTCCAGTTGCAAACATCCTACTACACCAAGTGTGTCAGCACCTCTCCTGACTGTCCTGAGCAAGCCCAAGATGAATGGGAAAATTTGGTGAGGGTGTTCCATCAGGTCCCCTTGTCACACGCTGATGAGCAGGGGTTTGTCCATTTCTGAAAACACCCAACAGCAAATGACAAGATGTCTTGTTCAGATATATCCCCTGCTAGCCTGCTGAATTTTCATGTGTCTGGATCGTTTATGGTCTTCACTTTCACTCTCTTCACTCACTGACTGTAAAGAAACAGTTACAGGAAACCCATCATGATGCCAGAGCTAATGTTTAGACACATTCTCTTTCCTGGAATCTGTAAAAAGCTTGGTCAAATCCAGCCTTCCTTAGTAGCAATGGAATTGAAAAGGTTATCATTAATAATATTTACGGAACTAAGCTAGATTGCTTTAGCAATGACCAGACTTTTACAGCCCTGATCCTGTGCCCTATTGAGCCTCCTCTGAGTTACACAGACAGCAATGGTCATAAAATGCATTATTCATTTTGCAGGAAAATACTGCTCTCCAAAAGTCATCACCTAGTTAGCATGCTTAAAAACAATGGCTGGAACAAGACGACCCTGGAAGCCAGACTCTGCCTACCAGATGTGCATGCAGCAGCAAAAAGATGGGAACGCAGAGCTTCACTGCACCTGTTTTAGCAAGTACAGTATAGATCTAATTTTACTGCAACAGCAACCAAGGAATTTTTCACAGGCACTATAATCTGCCAGAAAATTACCTTAAGAAGCATCTACACCATGAAAGTACCCTTGAGAAATCTGTCCCTTCATCTGGATTCTCACCCAACCCTACTATGGCCAAACCGACCTAATTTCTTCTCATACATTGGCTAAAGTAGGGCAGCTGAAAAATGATTAACAAAGAAATTCAAGACCTGGGATGAAGGAAGGCAGAAGTGGATGAGCTGGACAACCATGAATAATCCTCAGAAATTGTTTCTCCACTCCCTGGATCTCCAAACCATCTCTGGAAAACAGATGCTCCATAGCTCATCCCTTGCTTCTAAAGTTGAACAACAGGCTTCCTGAACTGCTCCAGCTCCCCAGTTTTACATTCAAATTGATGCAAATCACTTCTGTTAGATCAAGCCTTGAATTTGGTCCTCTCCTTTTGAACTTCCCACTCACTCAGGTGCTTTCTCTCCAGCTACCCTTGCAGAATGCATCCTTCCCAGACCAACTGAGATCAGTGGCAAATATTTAGTTACTGCAGATAGGATTTCCTCCCTCCAAAGCTATGCCAAGACCAATAAGCACAACTAAAAATCAAAAGCTTGAGGTTTCAGGGTAGGGTTTTTTGTTGGTTTTTTTTTTTCATTTTAATTGCAAGCATCAATTCTGTTCATCTCCATTATTCATTTTCAGTGTCCATAAAAAAAAATCCCCTTTAAACATGTCTCATTTCACCAAATGGAGTCTTTTGGGAGCTGGAAGACAATGAGAATGTAACGTTGAGGATTCGTTTTGCACATCTCCACATCCAATATATATGAGTCAGTCAAAAGAATAGAAGCTTGTTAAAAAACAGATGACGGGTGCAACAATTATTTGTGTGGGGTTTTTTTTTTTTATTTCTTTTAATAGAAAATTCTAATATAAAACAGCAAACGTTTTCAGTTTGCCTTGTTTACAAAAATATTATATATATATATATTTATATTTCTGACATAACTAAATGCACTATTCAATAAAAATATTCTTCCATCAGCTAACTTCTCTTTAAAAAAAAAAATAATAAAAAAGTTATATAAATAATGGTTGCACCCCCCTCCCCTCCCCCAACCCAAAACTGATCTTGCAAGTCTTGCTGGATCAGCTCAGGAGAACCAACACTTTGACACTTTTGGGGGATAGGAGGTGAAAGGAGATCAGAAGCCACAGACCTCCCCTACACCCATCTATCCTTCTCCAGTTACATTTACTGCAAAAATCTGTTTCTCGGGGGCAGAGAGGGGGGAAGAAGAGAAAAAGTTGCTTTGCACTCGTTTGTGGTTTTGTTTCGTTTTTATGAAGTGATATCATGAAAGATTCCCAAATCGACTCCTATAGTAGTTTTGCAAATATGAGCAATTTCATTGAATTGCACTGGAGATCCAATGGTGTGGGGGTAGAATTAGCCTCTCTGGAAAAATCCAATATGAAACAGCTGTAGCCCAAAGGAAGCAGTCAGTGTCTGACAGAGGCCTTCAGGGTTTCCTGCAGAAAACCCAGACTAAGATCTCAAAAGAGTTTTGAGCAGGTTTACCAATATTCCTTCTACCTGCTCACGCCTCAATGCCACTCGAGCTCCATGGGATTCTTCCAAAACAAGCTTTTTTCCCCAAATTCTTTCTTCAAAGATAAGGCAAACATCGGAAAATGCTGGAGTTAAACATCCCCCCGTGCCACCCAAGGAACACACACAACAAGGTGAGGGGAGAAGAGGAATAACCCACATATGTTTTACCACCCTAGGTCAAAAGGCCAAGAAGACAAGTTCTCCTGATTTCAGAGTGTTAGTACATTTTATACACTGCCTATACATTTAACACATGTGCCTCGCTACTATTTAGTCATTTATAATTATTTCTTTTTAACCACAGGAGAATAAACCTCGCTATTTACAATATACAACAGGCAAGTAATATATCCACATTAACATAAATACAATTTGTTTGTTTTTGTGTGTTTGTTTTTTTTTTTTAATGCTTTTTTTTTTTTTTTTTTCATTTGTTTGTTTGTTTTTAGGGTGTTTTTGTTTTTTTTTGTTTTTGTTTTTAAATACTTACAGAAAGCATCCAGGCTTCAGTGCGTGAATTATAATACACAGAAGAGCTCTTTCACTCAGTAGTTCATTCACTCTTTGCCTCGTTCTTCTAGTCTAGCTTTGGCAGCCTGCTCATTGCCCACCCATCTCTCTCCCCCCTAACACACCATGCTACCCTACCCCACAGACACAGGTATTTTCTCTACAATGATATCCATGCCAGCTCTGCCCTCTCTTCTGCATCTAGGGACTCATTCTCCTCTCACACCAGTGCAATGTGGAGTTACTCCAGCGAGGTCAACGGAGACAGAGACACCAGTGAAAAGAAGGAAGATGAGGCCCACGGTTTAAATACAACAATAATAATAATAATAATTAATAATAATAATAATAATGCACATAAGTTGTGGCCCAATATTTAACAAAGAACAAATATGTAAAAAAAAGAACTGGGCCAGAAATAGTAATTCAGATCCACAAACCCTCATGTTTTGGGCAGGTTTGGATCCAGCCTTACTTTGGAGGGGAAGAGCTATCCTAGCACACACATACACACACACAAAAACAAAACGAAACGAAGAGTTTGCACATATGCACATGTGTGTGTGTGCGTGCGAGAGAGAGGGAGAAAGAATTTAACATAATACCACATTGAAACCATAAGAAGGTCCTTCTGAAGGGCTTTAAAATAAATAAATGTTCGTTCAATCTTTATATATTTATTTATGTGTCTGCATGAGCGTAGATACATACTCGCATGCAGACACTGAGTAATAGGTTTCTAGTCAGTTTGTTTTTTAAACCATTAGATAAACTGCTTGCGAGTGACTTTCAAAGAGGTGCATCTCCCAGAAGCCGTGAGACCTTCCTCGGATGCTCCACCAGGCATCTGTCATGGTGGAAGGGACAAATACTGTGTGTGCACCACTCCTCGTGTGGATTACTCCTTCTACAGCACTACCACAATCTCCAGATTTGTACAGCAAATAAACAAATATCAAAAAAATAGCCAGTATGCTTTACTTTGCAGGACCACAGCACTACTAAAAGTAACCTCCTGTCCCTCCCGAGTTCCCTACCTCTAGATTTGATGCCAATAAGTCAGGTTGGGCTGCAGTTATCTGTTACCAAGAAAAAAAAAAATAACCTTTTTTCCTCCCAGTAGATGCACATAAACAGTTTAAATATTAGTGGCTATTGTTTGGGGAAAGAAAAAAAAAAAAAAAAGAAAAAAGAAAGTTTAAAAAAAAAAAAAGAAAAGAAAACAACACAATGCCTTGAAAAATAATGGTCCATCTTGAAAAACTGCTCTCTTTTTGCTTGGCCAACCTCTACTACTACTTGAAAAACTCCACCAGCTTTCCTCTTTTGAGAACCAGATCAATGGTCAGTATAAAATGGGTGGAAATTGCTACTACTGGACAATCAAAAGCTGATATAAAAATACAATACAATGCCCTCCGCTCTCCAGTGTTTCCTCAGAAAGCTTTGTTGAGGCATTCATCAGCCACTTCCAATCCCAGAAGCACTTTTATATGACTAACAGATATTATAGCATCAAGTCCTGGATTGAAAATATCCTCTTCAAAGGGAAAAAGAACTGCTGAAGATTGTCATCTATTTCACAGCATCAGAGCAATCTACCTCTGCAGTTGACTTCTGGCTTCTCTGGCCACTTGCTGGGTTGTCTTTGTGTTGATAAGATGTTCCAAATCCAACAGTTGGTTACCATTTAGCAACTGTATTTTTAAAATACAGTTCTCAATCTAGTGGTTAAAACAAATCTTAAGGTCATAGGGTTATACAGCTTGTGTCATGTACCAATGCTGTAGTTAAGAGTAAATGGAATGATGACCTAGTAAAAGAAAAGTCAAATCCTCCAAAGGTCCGATCCAGTCCAAAACAGCTGCTATACAATGCGAGACATTGCTGCATTCCAAGATGCACTGGAATTTCTCTTGTCCTCCTCAAAAATACATGTCCAAATTCAGCTGACATAAGACTAAAAAGTTCCAGTTTAGATTTCTGAAGCAATTTCCACAGGGTGAATTCAATCATTAAGAGGTGGGAAGAGGAGAGAAAAATGCCATGCACAAAGGGAAAATAAAATTATCTAGTGGTTTGTTTGGTTGTTTTTTTAAATAAAAATTAAGACAGTGATAGTGCTGAAGGAACTGCATTTGAAGAAACTGTATGAAAAAAAAATAAGACGACTGAAGGACTGAAGGGGACAGGCACATCTGGTATCATAATGTCTTCCCAACCTCTTTCTTGGATATATTGCCATCTGCAACATGGTGGACCCGACTGTATTTAGTGATTAAAGCACGTGGATATGGAGCTGTCATTAAAAAGCTTACCATCCAAGTGGGCCTCTTTGTCAGAGCCTTGTTTGCTGGATGTGCAGAAGTGTCATTAGAGGAACAACCTCTACAAGGGCTGTTTTTGCTTACTGCACCCTTCCTTCTCCTCAGCTTTAGAAGAGGGAAAAAATGATCACTTCTTGTGTCTTCATACCTTTGCATTCAAAGCAGAAAGATCTTTTTTTTTTTTTTTTTTTTTTTTTTTAATCTGTCCAGCTCTCTAAGCCGCTGGGTAAGCTTCAGGAATAAAGCAATATAGGTTAATTATTCCAGAAAGAATTAATCAGCTCAGAAGTTTATGGAGGACTGATGAAACAATCATGATGTTCCAAGGAGAAATGATCCATCCAACTGCATGGACGACGAAGGTAAAGGTCAACTGGTGTCTAGCCCCAGTGTGACAGGCACTTATTTCCACATGGTTGGACCTCATTAGAATTCAGTCTACAGGAAAAAAAAACAAAACAAAACAAAACAAAAGAAAAACAAAACAGCAACACAGCTGGGTCACCTGTACCCTACAAAGTGCTTATGTCTCAACATAGCTTTCAGATCCCAGAAGGTCAATCAAACCCTGTTTGTCTCCATATGTAGTTCTCATAGATCGTGATCGCCCGCCGCCGAGGGTCGCCATCGGGCAGATGTGTCAGTCTTTACAGGTGTAAACCTCCTCTCTCTGGGTGCATTGCTTGCATTCCACGTAGCAGCACCAACGGACCTGGCACTGGCACGGCCGAGTGACCACCCGGCTCTGCGTATTGTGCCCTCGCCCACAGCAGATGCTGTCACAGTTCTTGTCTTTGTAACATTTCCTTCCCGAAGTCCCGGGCGAGTATCTGCTCATCAGACAAAAGCTTGGGGAATCGTCAATGTAGACAAGATCCGTAGTCCTTGGGATTTGATCACTGTGACCGGGGATGGATTTCTTGGGTGGGGAAATGTCTCCTTCCCCCGTGGCCTCGTTGGTAGTGCTGCCCACTTTGAGCGACGTCTCGTACTTCTGCTTCAGCTGCTTCCCTATTTCGTGGAATGGAGAGAGCTGCCTCCAGCACGTTCGGACAGTGCAGGACCCAGACACACCGTGGCACTTACAGGTTGTCTCCACACCAGCTTTGATGACCTGCAGACACACACATCCCCAAAAGAAAATCAGTTAAGGGGGAGAGAAATCAAAGCATAGAGCAAAAAAAACAAACAGAGAAAAAAAAACACGTTTGTTAGAAGAAGACTTCTGGAACATAGGAAGGATGACAACACAAAAACCATCTGCTGGAAGAAGACAGAAAACACTCTACACTCTTGAGAAGGGTCTCAGTTTCCAGTAATGACGCCTGCCAGAATACTGCTTTACATGGCTAGTTAATGATAGTAAATACTAAAGCATTCAAAGACTGTTCAATACTGACATTCATCTTACACAGTCAGGGATTAATATGTATTTTAATGCCTATTTAGACATTTTAATAGGAACAAGGAGTTAAGACCAGGAGTTAAACTGTAGCAAAGGTGAGTTGCTTTCACCAAGAAAACGATGAGAGTGCTGCTGGAATCCCCACAGAGAGGCAATGGCACTCCAGAATGTGTGTGTGTTGTGCACACAACACACATCACCACCTTAAACCCATGTAGCTCTGAATTAGCATCACAGGCTCAGTGGAAATACACTTAAGCTGTTACGAGCAACAGCAAGGCATAGCATCCCACCCAGTTCACTTCATCAGCAAGGAAAATCTTCACATAACTGCTAGGAAGAGGAATTTGGCTTCTCACACAGCCAGTTTCAAGGGCAACACATAAGACCTAGGTTGCAGTGAGGCTTCCCCATCATATAGTCCCAGCAGGGACTATGACAGGGCTGATGGCCTCGGGGAGGGCTGGGGGAGCAGAGCCTCCATTTCTGCACAATGTCTGTAAAGAATATGGGGCAGACACCCAGTAGAGAGGTAAGGGGGTGTTAAACTTTCAGTCCTGGCTATGAGAACAGACCTCATGCACTAAAGGTTGTACTACCTACCCGATCCTGTATACACAGAAGCTGCCCCACATCAAGCATTAAAAAAAAAAAGAAAAAAAAAAGTAATAATACAATAAAAGAATTAAAGCACTTAGTGCTGAGGTCTTCAAACTCACAGTGGAGAAAAGAAAAGTATTAAATCTCTGGAAAATGAAGTGGACCCTCCACATCAGTACTGCTACGTTGAATTCTGTCTGCTCATACCTCTTGTCTGCAACTATTAAGGGCATGGTTTAGTTTCAAATTCTTTCTTAATATATTGGTACTTTAAAAAAAAAAAAACTTTCATATATATATATATTAAGAATTATCTCACAGATCTCTATAGGAGGAAAATAATTTGTTCAAGATATCACGAAGCATGTGGGACTTGCTTCCAAAACATAAGTCATTCTACATATAGGAAGATGCCCAGACCTTGCATGGGGACATCTTGCACAGAACTAGCACAAAGCATAAATACAAAAGGAAGAACCTGTGGAACTATGGTATGTGGAGGGGAGAGGAGGGAAATAGGTCATTTTCAACAGAAGCAGCAGCATGGGAAGGAAGCACAGTATCAGGAAGGGAAGAGGTGAATGCAGGGAGTTATTCATTCATTACTCAGCTCAAAAAGAGATGATACCAGCTTCCTAGATGCCACAGAAGACCATATGTCCATATGCCAAATGATGCTAAAGAAGTACCTTTTTCAAATGAGGCTGCAATAAAGATACTTGTTGGCAATAAACAGCATATCCATCTTCTTCTAAGTGGCATCTGGATGGTGTTGGACTCAACAATTCTTATGGGTCCCTTCCAATTTGGGTTATTCCATGAATGCTTTCCCTGACCTTCCCCAGAGAAGGGTTTACTCCTAGGACTAGTCCATGGGCAACATGAGAGCAGGTATGTTAGGACTGTCACAGATAACCTGTATTTTGCCCACAGATTATAAACAGATATTTATAGATCTCCCTCCCACCAAAATCGTTCACATTTTGACTTTAAATGGCTGAAGGATAACCACCCCTTAAAATAGCCACCTAGAACAGAGTCTGTTTTATAGAGTTGCCTCCTGTCGAGGTACTGCTGAGAAATGCCCTACAATGGGGCATCTATGGTTTCTAAAGAAGAAAAAAATCTCCCCCTCAGCCCATTATGGCATCTGCCTACATTAAGGCCTCATGACAGCAGAGGACTGGCTCCAATCCATTTCCTGACCATGCGGTTCTTAATTATTTGGCTACATGAGTCCTGCTGAGCACCATGTACAAATGTGCAATAGGTCATGGACTCAGAGCTGGGGTCTGGCCCAATCCTGATATTACAGAGACATTTTTAGAAAGACACTATGCATAATACGTCCTTCAGCAAAGCCTGGCCAATGGTCACACTTCATTCCTGTGACAGCCAAGACCTTTTCAAATGCAATCCAATAATACACAGTAGCATTCAAACAAGTGATGGGTTACAGAGAGAGATGTGTTACTGCTTATAGTACTCAGCTGGGCCAGCTTGGTTAGGGGCTTGTCACGCTTTGCGTGCCAAAGCGTCTAGCCAACTCTGCAAGAAATCCCACAATGTTAGACAAGAGCGTACAGAACACATTTCAACACCAAGAAAAGAAAGAAAAAAAAAAAAACAACACAACAAAACAGCAATCCTCATCCATGTTTTCCCTCACATAAAGTCACATTGCACTGGTTGTCCAGAAATGAGAGCTGAGCTCATGTGAAACAAAGCTCCTATACCTGATTTCACGCCCAAGCCATCAGCAAAATGGGCAACATTGCTGAGATACTTGCAGAAGGGCTACACACTGCACTTATTCTTCTGTTCAGGCTGTTCTCAACCCTCTTGCCACCCCCAGCACCCATGTGCATCTGCTCCACCTGGAAAAAGAGATGAATGCCATTGTGTAGAGATGGGAAAGCAAGCAACCAAGAAGACTTGGCTCAGCTGGTACCCGCAGCCCTTGGCTGGATTTAAAGCTGGGTGAACAAGGCGCAGACATGAAATGAAGGGTGGGAACTCAAACACAGGGTTATTCTTGTCAAGAGACACCTCTCCAAAGCTTAGTGAGAGAGCTAGCACTCAAGGCACGAATACCAACAGGTACCCAAGCAGCATATGGGGCTGGCAACTGTGGCACGATACGTGCTGGAAATCCACATTCCAATGGAGCAGCAACTAGCAGGTGGCCTGAGACCTTCAAGTAGGAATAGGCATGTCGGTTTAGGCAGGTTGGTTTAGACATCTAAATCACAACATCCAACCAGGGTTGACCTCACCAAGGCAGATATCCGGCCTACATTTGAGAAACATCTCTCAACTCCCAGCCGATCCACTGGAGCCAAGGCAGGCAGGGCAGCCTAAAGGGCAGCAGACACCTTCATGGGCTCAGCTGAACATCTCTTCAGGTTCCCACGGCTGTGCTGACCACATTTCTGCTCACTAACAGGAGCTCTGGAACTCTGCTCTCAGGGAAGCACATAAACTTAGATATGAGAACGTGTGAGCAGAATCTCATCCTCAGAGTACAATTCAGGTGTCTAAAAATTTGTATCTAATGTTACTTTAGGCACTGTAAAACATTGTACTTTGCCACCAGCTGCCTCTCCAGACATATCTGCCAGGGCATCTCAAATTTTACTAGGTGCATATATTTAGGAAAGTCTTTGGACTTAAATAGCAATGAACAAATCCCCTAATGAATAAGTCCATTCTTTCATTTTTCCTGGCCCACTCCTAGCTCTTCATCGACTTGTGGCTGGAAGAACGTGGGTGTCATACACTGATGGACCCAAGTATAAAAAGTTTTCATTGTCTCTATTCTCATGAATGCACCAGCTCACAAAATCCAGCATGTGGGTTTTCATATGGTCACTGTGCAAGCGTGGTGCATCCCAACCATCCCATAAAGCTTCTCCATGAAGGGCAGGGAAGGGCTCAAGAATGTTACAAGGCAGTTATAGTGAAAATCCTAGAAAAATATCTTCCCCAAACTGCCTCCTCTGCTGCTGTCAGTCACAATCCAGCTCCTCAAGGCAATGTGTGATGGAGAACTGCTGCCTGCAAGCACCTTGCCACCCACCAGCCAAAATGAATCTTGGCAAAGCCTTTCTATTTCCCATCTCATTCCCCAGCTTCCAAAGACTCTCCACCTCTTGTTGAATGGTCCTATCAAAAACACTTAAATCCAGCTCCTACTTACAGGACACTTCGACCTTGTGAAATGCCATCACTTTGCTCACAGCAACACTGGAGCACTAGGACAGGTGGGTGAATGTCTACACCATGCTTTCAAACCTGGAGGGATTTCCAGGCTAGAATAATTTCACAGAATCATAGAATGGCCTGGGTTGCAAAGGACCACAATGCTCATCTAGGTTCAATCCCCCTCCTATGTGCAGGGTCACCAACCAGCAGCCCAGGCTGCCCAGAGCCACATCCAGCCTAGCCTTGAATGCCTCCATGGATGGAGCATCCACAGCCTCCTTGGGAACCTGCTCCAGTGCCTCAACACCCTCTGTGTGGAAAAACTTCCTCCTAATATCCAACCTAAATCTCCCCTGTCTCAGTTAATTCACCCTTGCCACCAAAAAAAGTCTAGGATGCAGAAGGCAGAAAAAGACTAACACAAGCTTAGTGACATGGCTGAGTGGGCATGGTGGAGATGGGTTGATGGTTGCATGAGATGATCATAGTTGTCTTTTCCAACCATAATGATTCTATGAATCAAGGTAGCTCCTCTTCTCTGTTTGAGTCAGCCACACAGTTCAGAGCCCATCTGCCTCCATCCTACAGAGACATGAGCCTCTCCTACAACACACACAACATCACCACTTATTAAGCAATCATGTTTCATCTATACAATGCTGAGCAGCCGTGTGCATGCTTGTCACATGTATGTATCAGCTTAAATCCAAAGTGCCAAACATGTCATGCCATGTCTTAAACACCACGGCAACCGCACATCAGCAGAGTCACAGCAGCTCAGAAAGGAGGAACAATACCCTGGGACATTTAAATCCTTATCGTTTTATATGCTCTAGAAATACTCCACTATGAAAATGAACTTGAATAAATACAACCAGTGGGACAGGACAGCATCACACATTGAA